TTTTTTTTTATTTATAAAGTTTTCCTGACACTTGGTCATCTAAACTTAAGGCTAAAAGAATATAATATTTTGACATTTTGAAAAAGGTTAACATAAAAGTATTAAATTAGTAAAATATATTAAAATTATTATTTATATAAATAGTTAATAGGATGTATAAACTATAAATATATATTAAATTCAAATTAAATAAATAAATTATAATATAATTAATTGTATGAGATTTTTCTTAGAACACTAGACAAAAGAAAAAACATTTAAGTTGATACTAATTTTGATAACTTTTTTTTGACTTTATTTTGTTTTTGAGTTTGTTGGTTTTTAGCGTAGCTGAACTGCCTCATCCTCATAGTAATGTAAAGAACAAAAATGTTGGTAACTATTTCACTTTTATGATCTCCACAAGGAAAAGTTAATTTAAAATTTCTACTTAAAAAGTCTTCACAAGTTTCCTCAAAAACATTTGGGGATTCTGCATGTTTTTCAAAACATACTTCAATCATTTGTATAATCAAGTACAGATTTTTATTTGGATGAGTTAAGAAACCCCTTGTTTTCAAATTTACTAATTCTGCCTCTGCTATTATGACTTGTCCATATTCAGGTTTTAAACTATCCAAACATTGTTTACACTTGATATTTGAGTTTAATTTTTTGTTTATATAACTGTAAACACAATATTTATATTGAAAATTAATAATAAGCTAACCTGATAATTATTTAATAATTAGGTAATCATTGATTACCCAGATAAAAAGTACACCACACAATCAAAAACAGTAGAGTTCCTGTTAAAATAGTTGTGTTCTTGGAAAATATCATCAAAGTCCCACACTCCTTCTTCTATTATTGTATCAATTTTATTTTTTAGTTTTAATACTTTTTCTTGTCTTATTGAACTTTTGTTTTCTTGATTAATTATTTGTCTTATATCATTTATTGTGATGACAGGTATGTTTTCTGTAAATACACGTGGAGCAATTTCAAAATATTTAAGTGTAAATAAATTTTTATTTTTATTAGATACCTTCTAAGATGGTACAATTTCCAGTTTTCGGAGGTTTTATCAATGAATAAACGGATAATATCCTATATAATTGTAGGTATGTTGGAGTTGAAGGGTGATCATTTGGTCCTGCAACTTGTCTGATAATCCCAAAAAATTTCTTGTAAGAAAATATTGATACATATTAATAATTAAATATTTAAATATGTTAGGTAAGTATTTGTTGATATTTGTTTTATTTTTAGTAAAGTACTGTTTATGTAAAATCATTAGTTTATAAATATTAAAAATTAAATAATACCTCTAAACAGTCTTGATTCATTTTATACGTTAAAACATATGAAAAATTGCACTCATTAAGTAGGTAATAAATTAAGTCTAACGTTGATTTTATGGTTATTCTGAGTCCATCTGCAGTCTGCTTTGTCAAAAATTCATCATCCTTAATTATATTTTTTTTTAAATTTGCCTCTCAGTTGTTCAGCCATTCTAATGCTTCTTTTAGAACCTTAAAAAGAAAAATAATATTTAAATTTTAGATATTCAAACACATTTTAAAACATAAATTAAAATTAAAATAAAATAAATAAATTTAAAACTACATTATACATTGGTTAAATTATATTATTATTTATGTTTTGAAATAGCTACTTCCCTTTTAATTTCACAAAAGCAATAAAGTTTACACATGCAACACTTAACACACAGAAAAACCTCTAAATCATGGCTATCTTTTTTTATGCCTTCTGCAGGAAATTTACGATTTAGTGCATCAAAAATATCATTAATCTTTTCTGTAAAGATAATAGTTTCTTCACATCCAGTAAATCCATCATAATTTTTATTTTTATAAAATTGAATTGCTTTTGCCATAGATCTACTAAAAACCTGAACAGAAATTGGGTGTATAAACTATAAATGTGCAATTTATCATATTTTTTTGTATAATATACTATATAAATTTATACATAATCTACTATTATATATATTTTTAATGTTTAGTGTTTAATCTGAATAATAAATAAATAAAATCTGTATATTTTTCAATACATACTTGTGATGCATATTTCACCTTCATTTTTGTTAAATTATTAAGCTCAATATGATTTTTTGTCACTTTTGGACAAACTTTTAGTAGTGTTTTTGAATCATTGTAAAAGACGTTCTCATAAAATGACCATTTTATAGGTGCTTTGGTTGAGTCAATCTAAAAAGTTTATTGTACACATCCTTGAAGAAAAACACTTATAAATAAATATAATATATTTTATATTACTCATTTCATCAATGCAAATGTAGCAGAAACACAATAAAATAAATCATCATTGTATCAATACTGATTACCAATTTGAAACTAAACCATACTATGTTAATCATAAAAATTCCTACACTTAATACTCAATTATTATTCATTGTGAATTTGTAACTGATGTCTCACATGCATATACATTTAAAATGATTGATAGTAAGTTTCATACACAAATTATTATAATTTCAAAAGCACATAGGTACCTACTATGACCAGTGTTTCTAACTGATTTTCAATTTTGTTGTACCTATGTATAATATGTTTGATTTCTATGAATTGCAGTCAAGGCACAAATTAATTAAATTTTTATAAATATCCTTACACAGTTACACTACACTATGTATGTTGGTATTTGTATTGTTTAGCAATGTTTTTGGTAAACCTAATGAGGTATGACTAAATATTGTGCCACCGTAAATGATTTTCATTGTAATAATATTATGTAAGTACTGATTATTAGTTTATCTAATACATTACATTAATTATGATGTAAAAAATATAACTAATGACTATAAGAATTGCAACGTTAAGTACAGAGTACTTATACTTATATTTATATTTATGTATTTTAATATTCTTCAAAATGCTTAACAAATAATCAATGTTCATATTTATTATTATAATTAAATTACTACTTATTGAAACTATAATTAAAAAATTGTGATTGATAGTATTAAAACCACTTTTAAAATCAAAAACTATAAGCATGTGCACAACACACTTATACATAACATGATACATTTAATTGATGTTTTATAGGCTACACAGAGCTAAATCCTATTTATTGTCTAATTTGACTGGGGTTTAATAGTCAAATATTGGAAATGGTCTTTTAATTCGATTGCAATGTATTTATAGGAACTTTATCTGTATACTATAATGTAATATTATTATGAAGGTACCTACTACAACACAGGGTGATTCATTTAACGTAAACCACTCAATATTTCCCAAAACCATTTACATTTTTCAAATTTTTTTTTCCAAAATTTTAGATCCATGCTGTTCTAGAACTATATAATTTTTTTTATTTTTCACCCCTATATTTATCAGATAAACCACTATCAACTTTTGATTTTCAAATGAAAACCTATACTTAAAATTTCATAAACTAATAAAGCTATTTTTTAATGGATTTTCACGTTCAAATTTTCATTTTTCGTTAATCCGTTAACGAGATATAGCCTCTCAAAGTTGGATGGTGTTTGTGTGTAAATACCAGTTAGACAGTAGATAGTAGATACCCTAGGATTTTTATACCGAGGTAAAAGATACTACACTTTTCAAATCAATTTATCAAGTACACTGTACCCAAAATGTATTTTATAATACTCATTTAGTTAAGGGTTTTGCATAGTTCACCCCGCTGAAAATGATAGCCGGTATTTATGGCCGTATTGGTCATAAATCATAATAATACAAATTATCAAATATAATGACCAGAAGTTAAATGTAATAGCATTCGAGCCCAAGGTGTAATAGTGATAATCTTTGTACTTTGTACCTATAGCACATACTCGTTACAATAACTGATTGTCATAGTGCTATATTATAATAAGTAATTCAGTAATTGCCAATTGGATCATAACTGTCACTTATCGCATACCTACTTACCTACTTGAGCGTATTCATCACTACCCTATACCCATTTACGATTAGATACAATAGACTAATTTTGATCAGATATTATTTTGTATTGTTCTGCTATCTTCTGTCTTCGGTCCACTCTGTGCACGGTTGTTATAAGGGTTATTATAGTACTGCCCTGCTAAGCAAAAGTGCCGTAACTCGAAAAAAAAAAAAAAATTAGATAGATACGGCATCTGATCGGTAAACACATTTTACACATTCTCTGTAGAAAAAATACCCCCAAAATCACATTAAATAGGCTACAAACACATAAAACGTTATTTAGAAACGCCGTAAGTAACTAAGAAAATTAGAACTACTAAGTAAGAACGCCGTATCATACATTTACTAAGTATAAACGCCGTAAATATTTTGATAGATACGGCATTTTTGCTTAATATTTCTATGTTCTACCCAAGTTGCGGCGTTATTGCTTAGCAATTCAATTTTTTTTCTTAAGTAACGGCATTGTATATATTAATAGTTTCTAAATTGTTATCTACATTATTATATTATAATATATTAATAGTTTCTAAATTGTTATCTACATTATTATTTGGAAAGTTTATTATTTTGTTGTATGGAATACGTAAAGATAATAATTTTATTTTGTTCTGATTATTATTTGTTAGTATATTCGCAGTCGTAGTCACGAACTCGTGAACTGTTTCTATATATTATAATTATATTGATTTAGAGTTTTATTTAAAAATATTTAAAAATGAATGTTCAAGAAGAGTTTATTTATGACCCGGATGTAAATGTCATTCCTTCTACACCTGGTAAGAAAATTAATAGAGATTTTATTATAAATTTAAAAATATAAATAATCATATGATAACATTTATGATATAGATTCTACGGGAATAATTGACGAAGAAGAGGCTTTTCTTCAACAAGGTAATACAACTTACATCAATAAAATATAAAAGTAATATTATAGGGATTTATTATAAAATTATATAATTTTCCAAATGAAATTTGAATAAAAAGAGTTTAGTTTAGATATTTTTTTATAAATTATAATTATAATTAAATTATAATTTTTATATTTATTCAGTATTATTCGGAAATTTTTAGACGATTTGATGCATACAGAGACATTAGATATTAATTCATTACCCGTGGTTTTTGAAGATGGTTTTGAATGCAATGAGAATGAAATATCTATAAGTGAAGAAGAAGAAATGTATACGAAATTTGGAGATGTAAGGAAGAGGAAAAAATATGCGATCAGCATATCTAGCAGAAAACAAAAAAAAATTGAACAGCAAAAAAAAAATCATGTAGTACAACTAGGATGTGACAGAGAAACGTGTAGATTAAAATGTATTTTAAATATAATTGAAAATAGACGCAAGGATATTAATTATCAGTATTGGGAAATGAACTGGCAAGATAGAAGATCGTTTGTACATAGCACTTGTGAAAGCTCCGAAACTAATAAAAATTCTAAAAATGAAATTACAAAAAGGAAAAATGTGTTTAAATTTTTTTTAACAAACAGTGATGGTTTACGAATTCAAGTTTGTAAACCATTCTTTTTAAGTACGTTGGGTTTTAAGAAAACTAATGATAGGGTATTAGATGTCCTTAGATCTACACCTAAAGGTAAAATTAAACCTTATATCGATGGTCGTGGAAGACAATTGTCTGTAAATAAATATAAACATTTAGATTTAGTGGAAAATCATATAGAATCGTTCAATCCAACAATTTCCCACTATCGCCGTGAACACGCGCCTAATGTACGATACTTGCCAAGCGATGTTACAATAAATTTCATGCATCAGAACTTTTTGGAAAAATATCCTGAACCTGATTTTTTTATTTCATATGCATATTATAGAGATCAAGTAAAAAAAAAAAATATCTCGTTTACTCAACTTGGACACGAAGAATGTGAGGTTTGTGAGAGTCTCAAAATTCACGAGCATTCTAAAGACCAAATGGTACCTGATTTTACTGTGTGCGCGACTTATTTAACCCACATAAAAAAAGCTAATGCTGCTAGATCATTATATCAAGAACATGCCAAAAATAACTATAACGATGAAAAGTCAATTTATTTTTCAGTCGATTTGCAAAAAATAATAATGCTACCTAGGTTAGACACTTTTAAAAAAGTTTTGTTCATTAAGCGAATTGTTGCATACCATGAAAGCTTCGTACTAGATTTTTTAAAAAAAAAATGAAAATGTCCGGAATGGCTAGACCTGAACCATTAAAAGGACCTTGTGGAATTCCTGTAGGAAAAAAAAACGACATTCTCAACAATTTGAAACAAGTCATTCCACAAAATAGGAAACAGTTTTGGGAAAATATACCAGTTCATAGTTAAAAATGTACATTTTTAAACTTTAATATAAAATAGAAATATGTTAATATAATTTAAACTAAGCTAGTAATTTTAATTTTGACAATTTTTTTAAATGCTATTTGATATGAAAAATTATTTCAATAACTAAAAATTATTATATTTTATGTAATATTATGTCATTATCAATACTTATATCTATCATTATAAATATAAAATTATTTACGGCCATTAGTTCAAGTAATTATATCTATAGACAATTATAATTATTAAGCAATAATGCCGTAAAATTGACTTACGGCGTTTTTATTTAGTAAATAGTGGTATATACGGCTTATGGCTCTAAGTAATAACATCAAAATAACTTTTATTCATGTAACATATGGATAAAAGTTTTATTTTATTATTTCATTGCATTCCTCGTCAAAAAAACTATAAAGGTGAATATGTATTATACTAAATTAATTGGGATAACAAATAATAAAGTAATAATAAAATTAAAAAAACAAACATTCATTTTTCTCAAAAATAAGAAATTGAGTTTTACGGCACTTTTGCTTAGCAGGGCAG